GGGTTGGCGGGGTGGCGGGGCCCTTCGAACCTTCGGACACTGGGTGGACGCGATGTCTCTTCCTCTCTTGTGAGAATGTGAGGCTGAGTTGAGCCGGACGCACACGACCCTGCGTGCCCCCTCCACGCGTAAACTTGGCTTATGAGCAACTGCAGAAGCACTGACCGAAATGTTTCACACCAAAACAATAAGTGGCACACTTCAGAAATAACAAAAGTTTGCATCCCTGGTGTATCAAAATAATATCTTAAATGAAAATTGGCAAAGCTATGGGGGTCAGTAATTTGTGTCATGGTCAGTAGTTCTTATGGGGGCACTTGTCCGCGTCGCCCCTCTGTGCTGGGGCTGGGTGCGCTGGTCGTTTCGGTTCGACCCGCGTTAGGTTGGTCAGGTTACCATCAAATCGGTGTCGGTTTGTTACGTACCCCCTTCGATACCCGGGGGAGGAGGGAGGGGGGTGCTGGATCCTGTGTCAGTCGCCGAGCGAACACGCGTCACGGATGGTCACGGCGTCCACCGCCACCCACCCAACCCACACACCCCTGTCGCACAAAGGAGAGAGGGGAGGGGGAAGTGCACTCTGAAACCTCTGAAAACGAGTTAAAGTGTGCACAGTGCACAGTCAGCTACAGGTATGCCTACCTTTGGGCTGCAGCTGCAGGGATGACGTGCCCGGCGGTGCACGCGGCCACTGCTGACATCTCTCTCTGCGCCGATGCGCTGGTGCAGTGCTGACTGGAGTGGTGCTGACAGCATCTGACAGGCTGAACGACAGGCCGACCGACAGTCGACAGACCGGCCGGGAGGTACAATCATGGTTGAGAATGCAGCGGCCGAACACGAACAACTCTACCAACGCGGAGCAGCCGGTCAGTTGGGGGAAAACAGACGGAATGGTCCTGTTGGGTTAGGCTAGGTTAGGCTGAACTAGGCTAAGACTAGGCTAGTCCGACAGACGACAATAACTTGTCAGTTTTGATCAGTTTCTTACTTATTGCCATCTTCTCTCTTTCAGATCGAGTCTTTATTCATCGACGAGTGTCTGCCAAGCAACTGTGTCGATGCTGTCACCAACTTGATGTCCTACCATCCAACATACCTCGACATCTACAGAACAACTCAAAATTTCATCCTTCGTGGAGATGGTCCACTTCCTTGTGACTATCGTCATTACATTGCCATAATGGTTAGTAATGTATCCTCATGCTTTACAAGTACGAGATACACATATCTTTACTTATCATTTTTTCACGTATTATTTTTGTCATAATTTGTTTTGTTTTTGCAGGCTGCTGGGCGACATCAATGCAGTTATCTTATCAACATGCAGAAGCAAGAGTTCTTAATGCAGGGTGGGAATCAATTGTGGCTCAAAGGTCTGGATTACATACCACAAAAGTTACGTGATCTCTATGAGATAAATAAAATTCTGGCCCATCGTCCATGGATGCTGAATAAATCTCACATTGAGGTGAGAGAGAAAAGTCTACTTTGTCTATTTCTTTGTTTTGCTCTACCACTAAAACTGTACTCAGTAATTTTTGTTATTATGTTTTTCAGAAACTTACAAAAGCACAAGACAGTTGGTCTCTTGCTGAAGTTATTCACGCTCTTGTGCTGCTGGCTCATTTCCACTCGCTAGCTAGCTTTGTCTTTGGCTCTGGAATCAATGATGAACCAAGATATTTTGATAACCCAAATTTAACATCTGGAGAACCAGTTTTAACTCTCAACCCTCCTCCTCACAGCTCTAAACAAAAGCAAGATACCCAGAAACTTGACAACAAAGGTAAAAGGATTCATTCATACCCATTGAAAGGTATCACTATACTGCAACCTAATTGTACACAATTATACATCCAAACATTTCCTCATTATTTGCAGCTTTCAAAGTTGAATCTCCTGTTGCCATGTCTCCGACTGAGCCTGAAGTTGGGGTTGACACTTTGATGGAACGAATGAAGTCTTTGTCAGAGCGTTCTGAAGAAGTATCTGCTGAGGAATACACAAAGCGATTCGAACATGTTGAGTCTCAGAGTGCTGAATTGTCTGCATCTATTAGTCAAAATACCCCTATGATCAAAGCAGATTTGAGTCATTTTGTTGATGATCCAAAATTTGCTTATGTGGATTTTGCTCATAGAGGTGTTCCAACCTTTAGAGTTCAGGTAAGGCACTAACTCTTTTAAAACAAAAAGTTGTGTCTTCAAAACTGTAATATTATTAATAAGTTATTGTCTGTCAATTTACAAACAGGATTACTCTTGGGATGACCATGGATATTCCCTTGTTAATGGGCTTTATAGTGAAGTTGGAAATCTTTTGGATGAAAAATTCAAGACAACTGCTAATTTAACTTACAACACAATGGGAGGCAGACGAGATGTTGATACCACTGTTTTCCGCAGGGCAATATGGAATTATTGCCAGTGTATGTATGGCATAAGGTAAACCTCTCGAGCAGTTATTTGGCTGGAACTGGTAGATGTGAGTAATGATTATTTTTGATGTCGTTGTGATTAACATCAAACTCCACTCCCACAGACATGATGACTATGATTATGGAGAGGTAAATCAACTTGTTGAACGGTCCCTTAAAGCATTTATTAAAACAGCTTGCTGTTTCCCAGAAAGGCTGACAAAAAGAAATTGTGACAAAGTAATGAGGGAATTTCTACACTCTGAGAAGGTAAGTATTTGTAACTCAGGAAAAGTCTAGCATTTTCCCATGTCAAAAATAATAAGCTTTTTCTCCTCCTTTTTAGATCCATGTGAATCTGATGATTCTTGAAGCCCGAATGCAAGCAGAACTAATGTATGCTTTGCGTGCCATGATGCATTATACAACTTAAGTTTACTCGTATTAATTGTCAGTCAGCTCTGCTAAGCTTTACTAATGTGCTAATGTGTGAAAGAAAATGGTACGGTCAAGTGACATTAGGCTTTCAGTCAAGATAAAAGTGTTCACATTTGTCACATACACATTTTTCAATTCCAATTTTCAAATTTTATGAAATTTTTAATTCAATCTTAACTCATTTTACTAATTATATCTATACATCATAGAATTTGGTGCCAATTAAAGAAGCTCCTTGTTGAAGACGTTTAAGGTTCCAAGTAGTTATGGTATTTCTATACCTGTGGGATGGGAAGACTTCATCTGCGGCATATTTTGCTTAACTTTCCACAATTTAGTCCACAGTCTTTCAATAATTCTAGATGTGAAAAGTTTTATCTTCTTCCCCCCAATCGTGAAGAAAATTCTTAAAAACTGTGTCTCGTTGTAGCTGTGATTTTTCTTCTGGATATTTAGTCATTGCTTGAATGTCTTGCATCATCAGATTTGAGAGAGTGGTACCTCATCTGATACAATATACTCCAGTATCAAGTTCATATTGTAACTTTTAATTCATTATTGTTGAATGTACCTGTGCGAAAGTGTATGTGTGTTCGTGTGTTCTGTATGGCTGTGTTTGCGCATGTATCATTCAGTGAGCACTAATGTATGAGGTTTGTTGCCAGGCCATACCAACTGGTATCCCTACTGTTTTACTTTTTTATTTAAAAAAAAATTGAAATTGCTGAAATGGTTTCTAAATGTATTGAGGGTAACTCCTTCCTGAGTAAGATAACGCAAAGGTTCTTATTATTTTATAGTGGTATCCAAACACACTGATGACTGTATCATATTTTGCCTGTGGCTCTCACCAACATGAACCAATTCAACTTCAGAGAGAGCTTTGATTTAGTTAGCTTTCATCGTTAGTGCTCTCTTAACTCATTATTTGTGTAGGTCTATGATCTCAGTATTATACTTTTAAAGAACTTAGATTTCAGTAGATGTAAATGAAATGAATGTCTGTCTGTTTGCCCCCACCCAATTCACAAATATCATTTAAGGAAATAGAGGGTGGTCGAACAAACTGAGTCCTCTATGATTGTGGACTTGGTATACAATTCATATCCCTGCATGCTACTTTTCATTCTAGTCCTCTGGTACACAGATGGATCTAATTTTGTAGTGAAAAACTTCATTCGATTTTGCCACAAAGCTGTCTTTGGTCCAAAATTTCTCAAAGTGTTTTGATTTGATGTACATGTAATTATTTATACTTTTACCTTTGTTATCTGTGATGTTTCTAACTGCTAATTTTGTAGTGAGTGTGTTAGTGTCAAATTAAATAAAAAAAAAAATTCTCATAGCATATTAGTTGAGCATTCTGTTCCTCTACTCGTTCTTATTTCCATTTGATTTTTTTCTTTAAATCTATAAAATCCACTAACCTAGTATAGACATTTTGATTACCACACGCCATTTGTAAACTATAATTCATTGTGGGAATTCCAACTTCCCTCTGATGAAAACATCTGTCTGGAATGTTTCACTTGGACTTCATCATATGAAAGTTCCCCATCTCAGATCCTAATAATTGAATGAATTGAATAGTTTCCTGAAACTTGGATATTGAGTGCCAGTTTAATTATTAAGTTAAGGGTGAATTAATTGATTCTCAAAACTTCAATATTTTTAACTTTATTAGAGTTACAGAAAATTTCCCTTACAATTTCTTGCTCTCAATACAAAGAAACTAAAAACAAAGAAACATACCTGTTGAATGACTCTTCATCACTTGCCCGCAGACACAAAATTGCAATTCAAAATAAAATGGAAGGAATCATTTTATGTATTTGATACCTCTACCAATATGAAAGTGAATTCATCCAGTTGATCTGTGACCACCAAACAATCCATGGACTCAAATCCACTGGAGCTCAATTTTAATAGAAAAACATTTAAGACACTTATCAGATAGAAGAACACAGCATCCATGTGTTTTTCCATTTGTACGCCAAACAACTGATTTAAGTAAACACACCTTTGGATGATGTTCTATTTTTTTAAGCATTTTGGACATAGTATAAGTAACTGATAATAATTACTTTCATTAACTAATGGGAAAATTTTGGGAAAATGTATAAAATTATGAGATAAAAATTTACATAGCTAAATATAAAGACAGAATGTCACAAGAATGATAAGATAAAGGTTATAACAAACCATCAGAAGTCACAGTCTTTGGGTAGATAAAAGCATAACACAAGTGAAAAGAGTGCACATCAAATAGATGATTGTTGATAAAGTTATGCCCTAATGCGCATATTGGTCTGCAAAGCCAGAAGGAAAATCATCTTAAGCATATCCCGCCACATTCTCAACCAGTTTAGCTAAATTAGCTACAAAATCTACAGGAATGTGTGAATAACTTTAATAGAGTAAAAGTTTGTTTACACCTACCTAGTAATAAGAAATACGAGGACATTTTTTTGGGGGTTATTAAAGAATGCTGTAAGCAGCATAAGCATTATAATGAGTAAGATAGCATTTGAATGAAGTAAATCTGACTTACACATAAAAACCGTGCTACACCAGTACCATCATCCTTCAGACAAACTACAATCAGACTTGTTAGTAAGCTTTGGCTTCATAAGTTTCAATATTAGAGTTTGCGAAATACTATCACAAAAGTGAAAAGAAATGAAGTCTGTTTGATCTTTAGCTTTCATTCAATACAGAGAGAATGTTATCCAAGGGCCAGTTGATAACTTCATCAAATATTCATGACTAGGTTCAATTGAGTGGACTCTGCCTCCAAATTCAAATTGAATTGATACATAAAAAAGTTGAATAAAAAAAAACCCTCACTGAGAAAACAAGTTACTCAATTCACAATTTTACCTTCATCACAATGCTCCATAAATAAATCAATAAAATTAAATAAAGAACAGAATAAGTCAAATGGGTTCTGTTCTGAAGGTGATTCATTGCAGGAACATATCCATGTCTTCTCCATCGTACTTTCCAATCAGACAAATACAACACAGAAATAGTAAGATTAACGACTACACAAAAGAAAAAAGAAATGCCTTACTGTAAAAATTAAACTAAACAGAATGAAAAAAACATGTGCAAGAAGTACAGAACAGAACATCACTCCTGACGAGGCGTATCACAGCAGCCGCAATCACATCAATACATTGCCAGCCTTATCACATTCTTATTCCAAATTCACTCGTGGAATAAAGAATCCTCTCCGGCTCAACCAGAGTCTGAAAGAAAAAAAAATAAAAAAAATAACAAGAAACCCACAGGATTAGTTAGATCTTTAATAAAGATGATAAACATTATCCATTTCTGATCTGCAAAACTTACCCAACTCCAGTTCCCAGCAACAGTGTCATTACATTTGTTATGAAAAGTGTATACAGGACTTCTTTAGAGAAGAGCGAGTTATTCCCAATCTTTGCCTGACGAATGCTGAATGTCTTCTTTTGAGGGTGTTTGAACTTCCAGTCCCTGATGAGCAAAAAGCAGCATTGAAAAAAACCACAGTCACCAAATGAAAAATGAAAAGAAGGCGTGCCTTACTTTGGTGGGATTTGGTCAGGGCGGCTGCTCCAGTCCCAAATCCAATCAGATGTCACAGATCGTTCAACACCAAGATCTGAGTCCTGTAAGACCCATAGATTTAATTGATTGTTAGGTAAATGGTTGGTAAAAACAACTGCCCACGAACATTGACAAGTATTTTACCTTGATGTTAATGTATACTCCACGCAGGTCATCCTCTGAAGACAGTTCTGTATTAGGACTGTTAGGAGGAGATTTTGGACTGAAAATAAAATTTCAACAAGACATCAATAAAAAGTAACACCTTTAGTTTTCAGGGCACAACAGAAAGTGTTTCACCTGCTGCGAGGAGATACTCTGGCAGAGCTCTGATTGCTCTCTCTCTGTGCCTCCCTCAGGAGACGCAGGTACTCATCTGCTGAGGCAGAACCGCAAAGTGGCAGCTGCAGCTGAAGGGGCTGAGTCCGCTCTGGACTGGGGCTCCAACATCCACTCGATCCGAGCTCCACCCAGGATTCTGCAAGGCATAGAGGCGGTATAAAATAAAAGATCTTTTAATAGCTCCTTGTTTCAGTCACTAGATAGACACAGAGAAAAACTTTTGGAGGAAGTGAACTAAGACCACGGATTCCCACCCTCATATCCACACCTTCACTCTCTGGCGGTTCAGTGGTGGTGGTGGTCTCCAGGGACAAGTCGGGGGAATGCCAGGCGGCCGGCAGACCGCAGGAGTACATCTTGAAGCCGCCCAGTGACTCGTCCTTGTTCGGTCTGCACACGGGAGTGCGTCGGGCGGGGCAAAACACACAGGCTCTCTCTGTTTCGTGCGACGGCAACAGCCCCCCCCCCC